GCTCCCCATGCTGCTCTCGCTTGCTACTCTGCGACAGTCCCGCCTGGCTGGGCCCGCCGCCAGAGCCGCCCACGGCTTCGCGCGGCACGGCGGCTGCACGGCCGGGAACGCCTGGCGAGGCCATGCGCGTCGGGACGGGCCGTGCGGTTGGCCTCCAGGCAGGGGCCAGATCGCCTCCGGCGGCTGGGGCAGAGAGGAGCGCTGCCCTGCGGCGCGCTGGGGAAGGCCCCTTTCGATGGCGTTCGCCAACGGACCTGCGCCTGCACTCGCTCGCGGGCGCGCCCCCATCTGCAACCGCGAGGCGGTAACCAGATGTGGGGATGCTGCGGGTCGCTCCGGGCGCAGGCACGTTGTCGGGCACCGGTCCTTTCGGGGCGCCCGTCGCCGTCCCCGACGAGGCCCCCGCTTCGCGAGGGAGTGGCTGCGGCTCGCTATCCGCTCGGGCAGACTCGCTGCCAGGGGAGGGAGGGCGAATGGGCGCGGAAGGGCTTCTGTCGACGAGCTGGCGGATGGCCTCGTTGTCCAGCCTATGCATGGCTGGTCCATTGTTCATAACGGGCCCAGCTTCTCTAGAGGAGGTCTGCTGGCTCGGGCACTGGGACGCGGCGGCAGACGGCCGCGAAACAGCTTGTGTGACCAGGGCAAGGCCCGAGTCAGGGCGGTCGCGGCAGCCCCCGACTTCGGCTAAGGCTGCGGACACAGGTTCGTTGTGGGTATTCCTACCTGCCATGGGCACCCCGCCGGTAGGCAGTTCGAGGTCTCCTCGAGTGCTGGTCGCCTCCCTGGCCTCAGTGGTTGGCCTAATGAGGCTACTGCTGCGAGGCGCTGTCGGGCTTGGGGGGGTCGAGGGGAGGGCCGTGCACGTCAATTGGGGAGAAGTCCTCCTGCCCTGAGGGTTCTGCCGGGCCGCCGAGTGGGCACGGTGCTTCTGCCGCGGCGTGATGGTTCAGGATCGCCCCGCTAAGTGAACTGAGCGGCGGTTCTGCGTTGTCCGTCGGGACTGGGGGTTCGTCGACGTCGCAACGGTCTGGTCCAGGGTGCGGTCTCGTGGCGGGGTCGGAATTCCCATTGTGGGGATAAGCATCACGTCTTTCTTGTTCGCCCTCCAGATGGTCGTCTGTCGTCGTCGCTGGGCGTCGAGGTGGTCCGTGCTCAAGGCGGTCGTCGGGGAAGGGGCAGGGGCTCGAGACACCGCGATTTGCATCTGGCCTAACGGGCCCCATATCACCTTGGAAAATCGATGATATCGAAACCACGTTCCCTTCTGGCCTAACGGGCCCCATTTCAGCCGTGGCAAGATCCTCCAGATGGTCGTCTGTCGTCGCCACGGGGCGTCGAGGTGGTCCGCGTTCCAGGCGGTCATCGGGGAAGGGGCAGGGGCTCGAGACACCACGATTTGCATCTGGCCTAACGGGCCCCATATCACCTTGGAGATTCGATAATATCGAAACCGCGTTCCCCTCCTGGCCTAGGGGTGCGACTCTCAGAACCGCGAGGAACGCCCGGAAAGGCAAGGGTACATTGCTCGCCAAAGAGCACGGGGATGCAAGGGTGCAAGAGTGCCTCTTCCTGACTGTCAACCCCGTTCCCGTTTCTGGCCCGACGAGCCCTGCTGGTCTAACGGGTCCTCCTTCGCTTGGAAAGGTCCGCTGGCCGCCAGGGTTGCTCGGTGGGGCATCGGGGCTCTGACATCGGAGGGCACGGAGGTCAGGGTTGCCATTGAGTTGGTGCGGATGCTTTTTAGTCATGTCAGAACTGCGAGGATGCTGCTGCTGCTGACACCGGGGGGCTGTCACCACGTCGTTGTCGTAGTCCTCATCCTCGAACACCTCCACCACCGATTCCTGACTGTCAGGACCGTGAGGAACGTCTCCGCTCCCTTCTGGCCTAACGGGCCCTGCTTCTCGCTGTGAGTCTGGATGGTCGTCTGTCGTCATCACGGAGCATCGAGGTGGTCCGTGCTCAAGGCGGTCGTCGGGGAAGGGGCCGGGGCTCGAGACACTACGATTTGCACCTGGCCTAAAGGGGCCCCATTTCACCTTGGAAACTCGATAATGTCGAAACCACTGCCCCTTCTTCAACATCCGTCGGGGACGGCTGCCCTGCCGTCGCACCGCTGTCCGCTCCAGGGTGTGAGCTTCCGAGGGCAGCGGAGGCTCCATCGGGGGAGATTGCGCCTTCCCGCGGTGGCACCCTCCAAACGGTGCCCAGACCCCTCGCGGGCTCCAAGAGCGCCCGCTCCCCGGGCTGCGCCCAGCCGTGGCGACGAGGGGGGGCCCCCGAAGGCCGGGCGCCGACGCCCCATGGGCGGTCGCGGGTCACTGCCGTCGGGCGCCGCTGCGACCCGCGCTCTAACTGGCTGCCAGGGAGAGGGCGGGGGCTCGAGACATCAAAACTTCCTTCTGCCCTAACGGGGCCCATTTTGACTTGGCCCTGTCAGAATTGTGAGGGTGCTGCTGCTGACGCCAGGGGGGCTGTCACCACGTCCTTCTCGTAGTCGTCATGCTGCTGCTCCTGCTGCTGCTGCTGCGCCCGCTGCAGCGGCACCGCCCCGCCTTCCAAATCCTGGAAGAGCATGCCGATGACCGCCATGATGGCCAGACGAAAGTTGGCGATCTCAGCCGCCAGCTTCGACCGCCGCGCTGCGGCGTCGCTGGATGCCGGCACCTTCCAGTCGAAGTCGCCCGCCGAGGCATCGGTGCCAGCAGACTGGAACTGGAACACCTCGCAGAGCGCACAGTAGGCCACGACTCGCCCCAAGCCTGCCGCGGGGACTTCGGAGATGGCGCTGAAGCCGTTCAGGATGTCCTTGATGGCGAAGCCCTTGGTCGGCGGCAGGAACCCCGGCAGCTTGCCAGTGATCCCCGGGGAGATGGAGCCCATAGTCGCCACCATGCTCACGAGGCCGTGCTTCAGCTCTGCCTGGTGCCGGCGGGCGAAATTGCCCAGGCTGCCATCCGCTGCGAACACAGCGGGATCCCACAAATCCACGGGGCCCTGCGCGCACAGCATGCTCTTGACCGTCTCCTGAACGAACATGCCGATGATCGCAATCATGGCCGAGGGAATGATGGCACTCTCAGCCTCCAATTTCGACAGGTTGGCTGCGGCGTCGCTGGACGTCATCACCTTCCAGCCGAAGTCGCCCGCCGTGGCATCGGCGCCAGCAGACTGGTCCTGGAACAGCTCGCAGAACGCACAATACGCCACGATTTGCTCCCAGCCCGTCGCGAGAATCTTGGAGAGGGCGCCGAGGCCGTTCAGGACGTCCTCGACCGCGAGGCCCTTGGACGGCGACGGGAACCCTGGCAGCTTGCCAGTGATCTCAGGGGTGATGTAGCCCATAGTCGCCAGCATGCTCACAAGGCCGCGCTTCGGTTCCATCTGGCGTCTGCGGGCGAAATCCTCCGTGCTGCCATCCGCTGTGAAACCAGCGAGATCCCAGGAGCCCACAGAGTCTTGCGCGCCCAACTCGTTCTCGACCGCCTTCCCCACGCCGTCCTCGCCCTGGAAGAACGTGCCGACGATCGCAACTATGGCCAGAGGAACGATGGCGATCTCAGCCGCCAACTTCGACCGATTCGGTGCGGCGTCGCTGGAAGTCGACACGTTGCAGCCGCAGTCGACCATCCTGGTGTCGGCGCCAGCGGACGGGTCCTGGAACAGCTCGCAGAGCGCGCAGTAGGCCAAAATCTGCCCCCGGCACGCCGCCAGAATCTTGGAGGCGGTGCCGAGGCCGTCCAGGATGCTCTCGACGGCGAGGCCCTTGAACGGCAGCTTGCCCGTGATCCCCGGGGTGATGTAGCCCATAGTCGCCAGCGTGCCCACGAAGCCGTGCTTCAGCTCTGGGTGGCGTCGGCGGGCGACGATCTCCACGTCGCCATTCGCGGCGAGCCCGGCAGGCTCCCAGAAGCTGGTGTGCGTCTGAGCAAACAGGCTCGCAGCCTGAGGGCTCCACGACCACGCACACCTAGCCCTCGCCCCGCTTCGGGATGACGAAGCCACGCCCCCTCCTCCCAATACTCCTCCCAGAAGATGAAGCTGCGGCTGCTGAAGCTGCTGCTGGGGGGGCCGGTGCTGCTGCTCTTCTACGCCCACCTCCCGTGCCTCCTCCCTTGGGCTTCCCTCTACCTCCTCCATCTTGGTCTCCTCCACCTTTGGCCCCTTTACTGCCATTGGCCCGCCCTCCTCCTCGACCGCCTCCTCGCCCTCCCGTGGGCCCCCCTCTATCTCCTCCATTTTGGTATCCTCCGCCTTTGGCTCCTTTACTGCCATTGGCCCGCCCTCCTCCTCGACCACTTCCTCGCCCTCCTCTTCCTGGTGCTGGGGCCGCTGGTGGTGCTGGAGCTGGTTGTGGCGCTGGTGCCGGTGCTTGCGCCGGTGCTGGCGCCGCTGGCGTCGTTGTCTGGCTGCTGCTGCTAGCTGGGCCTGCCCCCAGAGCGGCACGCTGGGTGCGCGGCAAGTTATTGCATCTATAAGCCCAGCGCCACTTGCTCCCACAGGCGGTACACTCGATCCAGCCCTCATCGGCTGCTCCGGCTACCTTGCCGGTCCGCCTGTTCCACGTCAAGACGTGCCCACCCCTGTTGCAGCGCTCCTCCGTGTCCCGCCACCTCGCGCTGGAGCCAGCGCTCTGGCGGAGCTCTGGGAACTCACAGCGGCGGCCCGTGATCTTGAGGCGGACGTGCTGCGTCCTCTGGACGAACTTTCCGCACCTCCAGCACCAAAGGCCGTCGGCGCCCACCCGGCGTTCGAGGTGGCGCCCGTTCTCGGCGTACCCCTGCTGGGCTGCAGCTCCGGCGCCCTCCTGTCCAGCCGGCGCCGGTGCCTCGGGCTCTGCCACCTACAGGAGGTCGTCTCCTCGGTGCCAGCGTTGCACCTGATCCCTCCAAACTGTCAGCATGAAGGTTTGCAGCAGGACCGACTGGCGCTGCGTAAGCGGGCCGATGGCAGGGATGACCCCCGCATATCTCCCCGGACGCCTCCTCCTCCGCAGACGCCTGCTCCTGGAGCCGGTCGTGCAAGATCATTGTGCGCACTCGGTCAACGTCCTCGGCGCCGCCGCACTGGTGCCCCCGCTCCTTCACCAAGCGCTGCCAGAAGGCGCGTCTCCACGCATCCCGCAAGTCGCGCAGCCACTCGACCTCCGTCTGCTCGTCCGCCACGGCACCGTCCAGGAGCCTGCCAACAAGGGGCCCAAAAACACCAGAACGGCTAAGCACGCGCAGACGCAAGGTTGGGCCATCCCGCCGGGCGGTCGGCACGCTGCCAAAGCGCTCCGCGAGCGTCGTCGCCAGCGCAGGAACCCGCATCCCCCGCATGACCGCTCTGAGTCCTTCGTAGACGGCCCCGAACTCCGCGTCAAGCTGCACCGCGGCGAGCAGCGCGAAAGTGACCAGTGGGCTCAAGGAGTAGCGGTCTATCTTCCACAGCGCCTGAATAACAGCCGTGCGCACCTTGCGTAGATCCGCAACATCGGCGACCATTGCGCGGGTGCCTTGCGCGAAGAAAGCCTGCGCTTGCGTGGCCTGCATCATCCGCGCCCGGTCTCGCCAAGACCTCGGGGCGCGCCGGATTCTGCCAACAATGAGCTTCCACTTCGCCAGCCGTTGCAGTTCGAGCTCTGTCTCAGCATCTGCGCTCTCGCGCACTGCAAAAGAACCGCCAGCGATTTTAAACTGTCGAAAGTGGCGCATTTCATCCCCCGGAACACCGCGAGCACAGTCATCGCCAAAGGTGAAGCATTGAGGTTGATCTCGCCGCCCCCCGCCCCGGTGAAGGCGCGAACGACGCCGTGAAATCGTCTGGCCTCCTCCTTTGCTGCCTCTGGCGTCTCCGCGACCGTCACTGCTGAGACGCCGTCGGCGTAGGAGCGCTCCGTGGCCCCAGCCGCCGCGCGCGCGCCAGAAGTCTCCAGGATGCAGCTAACGATGCTGTTCAGCACGATCATCGACAAAGCGTCCCCCTGGATGATTCCGCTGAACGCCTGGAACCACTCTCCTACTGATCCCCCCAGTTTGAAGACACGGCGCAGGTCAGTGTACATAGCGCGCAGAGGCCGCAGTAGCCTCTCGTGCAGTCCCCGCGCCTCCAAGACCTGAAGCATGATCTCAATAGGAATGAAGTCAAAGGCTTTCTTGAAATCAAAGGAAACGCCGGCCACGTGCTTGCCGCCACCGTAAGCTGCCGACTCCAGGTCCAGCGCGATGGCCATCGCCATGGTCTCGGCTCCACGGTGTCGCCTGCAACCCCACATCTCGTCAGGGCACCACCCTTCTTGCCACTCCAGAGTCTCCGCAAACCTCACCTTCGACCAGAGGCGGTAAACAGCGCTCAAGACGCTGATAGGGCGAAAATCCGTGGGCGACCTTGGGGGCCAGAGCGACGCACGCCTTGGTCAGCTCGCGCGGCCAGTGTCCAGTCTCCTCGACGTAGTTGAGGATCAGCGGCAAATCCTTGAATATCTGAGGGCACCATATTCCTAGTGCGCGCAGCTCCTCGGGTCGCCACTGGGCCAAGCTGCAAGCGGAGGCCTGGGTCTCGCACGCTGCCTGCGCCAAGTCGCCCCAGCGCAGGGGCCGGAGCTGCATCTCTGCGGAGCGCAGGTGGGGCTGGAGAAGGCGTAGGAAGGCTGCCGGGTCCTCCGGGCTGTCTTTGTACTTGTGCAGTATAGGCAACCACTCTTTGAGCACTGCGGCAAGCTGCTCCTGCCTGTCAGCCGTGAAGACCCCGCCGGGCAGCTGCATTGCCTCTTTTGCCGGCTGGGCTCCGCCCTTGACCCACTTGTGAGCTGCCGCAGCGGAGGCCTGCAGCCTTCGCTTCCAGGCGTCAACCCGGCTCTTGCGCCCCTTCTGCTCATGCGCCCTGTGCTCCTCCACCAGTAGCGTGAGCACCTTCTCCGTGTGCGCCAAGGTAAGCGGCCCCCCAGAGAGCGTCTCCAGCAGAGTCTGCGTCTCAGCAGAGAGAGGGCCGGCAGCGCCCCGCAGACCCTGCAGCAGGTTCTCCCAGGCGCGGTCCGCCCATGAGCTCGCTGCACCTCTGGATGGCTTTGGCCAACTGGCGGCCGGTGGAGGTTGCAGCGGAGCCGCGCGCCCCAACCGATCGCGTCTCCGGCGGGCGTACACATAACTTCCTAAACCGCACCTTCCCACGACCGCTGCCTGGCGCACAGCTGCCGTCTGGGCGCGGTATGATACGAAATCGGCCCTCTGCGCGCCGGCACCATCTAGCCATGGCTGCATCGAATTTGCCCTGCTGCAGCAAGAGCGGTATAGCAGGATCACTGTCCAGCTCTGGAGGCACATGGTCTGGCCCAGGAGCGCCGTACTCCCCCTTCGGACCCATGCTCTTGGGCTGGTAGTATACCTGCACGGCCACAGGCAGCGACAGCGCGAGGCGGACGAACTGGCGCTCGCGCTCCCGGAAGCCGTTCTGCACCGAGTAGCCCCGCAACATGGTCGAACAGGTCTCGTTGGCGAGAGCCCAATCTATCCGAGATCCGCGCTTGCCCTTAAGGCACGCAGGCGTCTCGCCCAGGCCTCCAAGCCCCCACTTCGCTGCATCATGCCACCCCGCCTGGGTCATCTTGTGGACATAGTGAGGTGTATCTGCTAGCTCAAAATTGAAATCCCCAGCTATGAGTGCAGCAACGCCCCCTCGCATCACCGCGTCCCTCGCGACAGCCGCCAGGAGGTCCAGCGTTAGCTTCTACTTCTGCGGCTCCCATCTGGCGCCGGAGTGGCCGTATACAGCGTAGATGATGAGAGATCTCCTTCCAGTGCCAACAAATATCTGCACCGCCATGAGTCGCCCCTGTGTTCGGAAATTCTCACAAGCAGGATTGAGAAATACAGCTCGTTGCGCAGCCCATGCAGCCCGGCGCCTGCACAGCACTGCAACGCCCGAGAAAGATCGCGGAGGGACTGGCGCACCCCAAAGAAGTTCACGTGTACCAGATTTGCCTTTGACCGATGTCTGTGCGCAAGCAGTGGCATGTGTCTCCGACAAAACAACCATATCCGCAGAGAGACTCAGTATATTATCCTCCTTGTGTACCCCATTGGGATTGTGAAGATCCAACGTGAACAAATCTTGTGGACTCCTGGGAGGCGGGCCTGGCCTGTTAGCTTCCCCGATACGCCGTCCATCATAGGGCCACAATCTGTATGCACGCAGAATCCGTGTCGCTGTCCACTGCATAATCTCACCGTGTAGACTCCCAGATACCGCCCGAACAGTACTCGGCACACCATCCCAATCCACTGACGTAATAGCTGACACAGTGCCATCCAGGACGCCGTCGTCGTACTCCTCCCTCTCCTCGTCGTCTTCCTCCTCCGTCGTGAATATGTACAATAATGAATTCCATTGCAAGTGGTGTCGAAGTGAGACAAGACCAGGTGCTCTTGACTGGCGCAGCGGCGGTCGACGGCATAGCCGGACGAAGAAGAGCAGCTCAGCCAGCCACTCGGGGAGAAATGACGAATTCGGAGTAGTCATGCACGTCGCCCTCCAGCCTGCGACTAGTCAAAGGTTATCATCCTCCGCGTCCAGGCCTGCCGCCCCAGACCTCGGGACTTCGCGCTCAGGCGTTTGCCCCGCGCTCTCCGCCGGGCGCCTGGCAGCAGCGGCGGCGGGGGCCGCAGCCTGCTTGCCCTGCCCCTCGCACTGGAGCTTTGCCTGAAGGGCCGCCTGCGTATGAGCCCGCGCGGGCGGGGTGGAAGGCTCGGCGCCGCTCGACGCCGCTGCCCCCCTTGCCGCCCCCGCACTCAACTTGCGGGCCGCCGCAGCGAGCGCCTTGATCTTAATCGTCCGCGGCTGGCCCCCGCAGGCAAAATGGGCGGGCACGTCCCGGCCGATCCTGCTGGCGAGAAACACGGCCTGTTTGTAGTCAAAGTACACCACCTCGACCGCGTTCCACTGGAGGGCTGCGAGCAGCTCAAAGAGACCCGTCGTGTCTGTGCTCGTCGGAAGGCCCGTAAATTTCCACCTGCCCAGGCCTGGCGTGAACGGGATGCTGTTCAAGCGAGCAAACTCTGCCATCTTGGTCTCGTCCGCAAACCGCAGCGCCAGCTTCCCGGTCGCGCCTTCCTCTGCCACACCAATCGGCCCACTCTCGGACGCCAGGGCCACAGCTCGAGACAAGGGCGTGCCTTCTTCCAGCCAGAGCAACTCCAAGGGCACTTCAGACTTGGCCTTAATGAACACCCCCCCCTGCCCACTTCCATGGAGCAGCGCATCCAACCATAACTTGCGGACCTGAAAGACTACAGTGCCATCCTGTCGGGACTGGACACCTTCAACGGCCTCACGATCACTGAACTTTCCCACAAAATCCATCAGGAAGGCGGCCAGGATCGGCCCCTCGGGCCAGCCACGCCGAACCGAGAATTTAGCAGTGGCCTGGACCATGTGCTGGGGGATCTGCAGCTCGACGCCCAGTATCTTCAGGCGCACGTGCTCCCCTAAGCCTAGCTGCACCAGCCAGCGTTCCACGGATACCTCACTCGCACCGCCGCCCTCGGTGACGACCTGGGCCCTGCAGCGCACCTGCGTCCGAGGGAACCCCCGTATTCCCAGCTCGTCAGAGCCCTGTGTCAAAAGGGCCCCCGTCGGCTTGGCCGCGTAGGCCACGTTCCGGAGCACCTGGGGCAGGCCGTCCTTGGGGGCGATGGCGACCCCACCCTGCGGACCCAACGACTGCCACGGCACCACTGGCTGCTCCCACTCGTCGGGGATCAAGCTTGTCTGCATTCGGAGCCTTGCCGCCTCCGGGAGGGCATCCCGAATTTGTTCCTCATATGTCTGTTCTTTGGGCTCGTCAAATCCCTTGCCACGACCTTTGCCCTTTCCCTTCCCCTGGGGCCCGTTGCCGTGCAACGCGTGCATCAGCTTGTTCCAGGCATGGTGCGGCAGCTGCCACAAGCACGCCAGGCCGAAGAAAATGACGCGGTACATGATGCCAATCATGTTGATGATGGTGCTGCTGAGGGACTCGTCCGCGCTGATGCCGAATCTGAATGATAGTGCTGTGATGCCGATCATGCTGGTGATGCTGTTGCTGCAGGTTGGCGCGATGCTGTTGAAGGATGCTGCCGCTGCTGTGTTAGCTGCTGCTTCTGCAGCAGCTGCATCCCCCTCCTCCTGGGGGTTCGATTCCTCAGCCTGGGCCGGAAGATCGCAATCAACAAGATGAAGATAACCTGCGTAACGAATACGAAGCTTATGAACAGGTACACTGATTGTAGCCAAAGCTATTGAAGCACATAAGGCTGCTGATGAACAGCCCGTCGAGCACCATCTCGCCACTCCATCCAGATTTACCCCCGGCATGCTCGACATCTGGTGGAGCATGGGCGCCGGGACCCGGCGGGATCCCACAAGCCCGCAGGGCCAGCCTCGCCCAGCAAGCAGGCCGCCGGAGTTCCAGGCACGGCCGGCGCCGCAGTCGCCGGCGGCGCGGGCCAGTGCCGCCACGGCAACCCAGAGGCCTGCGGCGGCCGCGGCCTCGCCGGCGGCGGCGGCGGCGGCGGCGGCGGCGGCGACGCAGGCGGCCGCCGCGGCGGCCCGAGGGGCAGCGGCGGCCGCGGCTGCGGGCGCCCCGGCAGCGGCGGCCGCCGCCGCGGCGGCGCCAACCGCGCCGCCAGCAGCACCAGCAGCGGCAGCAGCGCCGCCCGCGCCAGGCGCGCCGGCGGCCGCCACGGCCCGCGGCGCCAGCCCCGGGGGCGGCGCCGCGCGGCGACAGGCGGCCGCGCGCCGCTGGCGGCGGCGGCGGGCCGCAGGCGACTCCGCAAGCCAACGGGCCGCGCCGGCGGCGCGGGCAGGGGCGCCCGGGGGCATGGCCCGGCGGGCGGGGGATAGGAGGGAGGGCCGACCTCTGTCCCCACCCCCGCGGGCGGGGAGGCCGGAGGCCAGGGGCGGGCCCCCGGCCGCGGCCGCGCAAGCCGGCTCGGCCATCTTGAGCCAGAGCGGCTTGAGCTAAGGGGGGCTACGGGCCGGCGGGTATTTTTTTCGATCGCGGCCGCGAGCGAAGAGCGCAGGCGGCAACAGACTGGCGGGGGTGCTTTTTCGGTCGCGGCCACGAGCGAAGAGCGCACGCGGCGAACAGGGTGTCCGGGCCGACGGGCAAGCCTAATTAGCTACAAGACGCGCCGCTAGCCGGCCGGCCCACTCACAAGGCAGCCGCGGGGCTGCGCGGGAAGCTGAGTAAGAGGGGGGGTGAGCCCGAGGCGCTGCTGCGGCTGCGAAAGGCTGAACCACTCCGTCGCGGTCACAGCACCCAAAAGTCCACCAGACAGTGCACGCCAAAATGAACTAAATACTCAAAAGGAAAACCAAAGGCTGCACAGGCGTTGCAGGCTGAACCACTCAGCGCCCAGTCCTCAGTCATCCGGCTCCCAGTGCCAAGTGCAATGCGGCTGTGCCCAAGGCGCAACTGCGATGCCGATCCCCGAAGCGAAGAGATCCGCTGGCGCGGGGGGCACCGCCGTCAAGTGGCGATGACGTCTGCGCAGCCTGGGGTCCTGCTGCAGCGCAGGCAATTGGGAGGCCGGTTGAGTGAGTCGCCCGTGGGGCGCCAGACTCCGAACGCCCGCGACGACGTCTGCAAGCCAGGGAGCGGATGTCGCGGAACTTGGTGCGGCGCACTGGCCGGAAGCTGGTGGAAGCCTGGGGCGCTGCACCTGCTGCGGAAGGCTGAACCACTCCATGGCGACCCAACACCCGAGAGACTACTCCACAGGGCAAGGGGGAAACAAGCGACTGCGGGCCACGCAGCGCGCGCCGGCACGGCGCCAGGCTTCAGAGAGGGGGGGGGGGGGGGGGGGGCGCAGGCGGGGACGCACCGCCAGCGGGGGGGGTGAGGGGGGGGCGGCACTGGTGGCAGCGCTGCCTCCTGCGGTGTCAAAGAGCGAGGCGCCTGGGGGAGCTGCACCGTGGAGGACACGGGGGCCCGGAGGCAAGCCAGGCCCAGTCCGCCGATTGGCACTGCCCCCCAGACCCGTGACCCAACACACACCACGAGGTCCTCCAGGGCCGAAGCAAACTCCGCAGAGAGTGGGGGCCTGACCACGAGTAGCGCAGAACACGGGCGGCCCTGGGAGGGGGGGCAACCACCCCGACGTCTGATAGCACGTCTGGCAAGCCCCGAGGCCGAGGGCGGGGACACCCGCCAGGCCCGAGAGGGGAGAGGCGAGGAGAAGCACCGCCACACGCCTCGGCATGGCCCCGAATCCGAAGGCTAGGGGCCATGGTCATCTCCTGGGTCATTCTCGGCGGTCGGATTGCAGCTACTATCCGCAAGCACCTGCGTGGAAGAACGGGGGGTCGCAGCTGACCGCCGCAAGGATATTTTTTACAACGAGGGGGTCACAGCTCATCGCCGCTGAGGTCTCTGTTGAATGTGCGCGAACGGGCGATGGCCCACCGAGGCCGCAGTCCACTGCGAACGGGGGACGGCCCGCCAAAGCCGCAGTCGACGCGGAAAGTGGGCCAGCAGCGAGATGCGCCTCCGGGGGTGGGTCCTGGGGAGTCGCAGCTACTCGCCACTGGAGCGGAAGCTGCCACACCTGGGGCCTGAAACGACAGGCCGGTAGGCTGGCGCGCAGGGGGGGGGTGCTTCTGCCGACGCCCCCCTGTCACCGAACAATCGCGGCTAAGATCTCCATTGATGGT